TGATCGTACATGACGAAAGTGCTGTAAATACCGAGTAAAACGGATGTGCTCTTACGATGGTTTTAAGCAAGTGTAGTTGGTAGGGGGGGGCGCCTACTACTACTACTACTACTACTACTACTACTATTCTAAAACTACTACTACTACTACTACTACTACTACTACTACTACTGCTACTACTACTTACTACTACTACTACTACTACTACTACTACTACTACTACTACCACTACTACACTCCTACGAGGACTACTACTAGTACTACTACTGCGACACTAGTACTACTACTGCGACAACTTCTAGGACCTAAGACATTGCAAGCCTGCACCCTGCACCCTAGAACCCTTAACCCTAGAACCCTCCAAAAACCCAAAGTCTAGCACCCCAAAACCGCCAAACCCTTCAAAACCCTTACAAAACCGTGGAATCCAAACACAGAGCCCTAGACCCTAAACCTTAAGCCCTAAAACCCAAATATTTGCCATACACGTCCTCAACCAACATGAGAGACCACTTCAAACAAAAAAACTATCAGGTATCACGAAGCATGGAACCGCATGGAGTCCTCAGGTTGTAAACCGCTATAAATCCATGTACATTCAAAACCTGAGATACGAGGAATCGGTCCTCTGCCTCCTCCTCCGCCTCAGGTGCGGCGAGCGGCGAACGTCTTTCCAAGCAGGTAGGGTTTTACTTTACTGGGTTGTGCCTGCCAAGCGTCAGTAAGATCTACAGCACTCTGGGTTAGACAGTTAGACAGAACCCTAAACCCTAAACCCTAAACCCTAAACCCTAAAACCTAAACCCGGTTAGACATGCCAACACTGTGAGACCCTTCTATAGAGCCCTCCCGAGTCCGAGACAGATTACCCATAGGCCCCATAGTAGTTCCTTTTTGGGGTTCATATTTAGAATCCTTTAAGCTAATCCCAAACAAGAACGACTATGGGGCCTAGTATGGGTATAGCACCCCTTGATGGGCCTTACAGCACCCCTTATAATCTTGTCGCGACGCTAAACGCAAAACCCAGCACTCGCCCGACAACCCGAAAGCCTAGCAGCTTCAACCCCAAACCCCCAGCGATCCCTTTAGGAACCCTTAAAGGAACACCGAAAACCTTCGAATTCCCTACCGCCACTCCAAGTTGCCTAAACCGCCCTAAACCCTAAACCCTAAACCCTAAACCCTGAACCCTAAACCCTGAACCCTACACGCTGAACCCTACACCCCAGACCCCTGAACCAGGACCCCAAACTCCATAAATGTCCGGTCAAAACTCCGAAATCCCGAAACCCTACACCCCCTTATAGATTCCTTAAAGGTTTAGGGTTTAGGGTTTAGGGTTTAAAAGGAACCACCAAAATCGCTTAAACCTTGAACCCTGAACCCTAACCCAGACCACCGGAAGGATCTAAAAAGTAGATCCCCTAATTTGAGACCCTAACTACCAAAGCGTACTGTATTGGAACCCCCTTTAAGGGATCTACTTTTTGGATCCTTCCGGCGGTGGCGGAAAGAGGGATGTGCTCAACCCTAAGACCTTTTGAATTCCCCCCTCCCCCCCAAAGCCAAGCCTTCGCAGCGCGGAAGGCACAGTCGAGGACCGCCTCAGCTTCCTGCAGCAATCGCTGCCTCGGCGCTGCGACACCCCAAACCCGAAGACCCTAAACCCTAAAACCCTAAACTCTAAGCCCTAAAACCCTAAACCTAAACCCTAAAACCTAAACCCGAAAGCCGAACTGAAGGCTTTTTTGTGCGCTCCTTTGAGGATTTAGCGTTTAGAGATTGTCAAGTGTTCCGATCCCCAAAGGGTCCTATGTATGTACATATAGGGTTTAGGGTTGAGGGTTTCAAGTTCAAGGGCCCGAAACCCTAAACCCTAAACCCTACTCTGTTAAGGGTTCCTATGAGGGATACAGAATGGTTGAGGGCTTATGGCTTACGGTCTAGGGGTTGAGGGTTTAAAGGGGTCGGGTCTAGGGGCGTGGGGTCTAGGGCACAGGTGTCATGAGGTTCAGGGTTGAGGCTTTTAGTGGGCTGCCAAAAGCCTTGGAGTTTAGCGGCTGGTGTTTCCAAGCTGCGTATGGGTGTTCTAGGGATTGAAAAAAACTTGGTCGAATTCGAAACAAGACTTTTAACTGGAGTTGCTTATGCAATAGGTTGTGTTCCCAGAAGTCTAAACCCTAAGCCCTAAACCCCTAAACCCCTAAACCCTAAACCCTAAACCCTGCAAGTTTCACTTATCTGTCTCTCACGCAGGCAGTGCTGGTCATCGACAGACGATCGACTGCAGCTACGAAGGATCAAAAGTGCCACGACCTGCAGGCGCGCAGTTAGTTCGGAGCCATACCCTGCCTCCCATTGTTACTGCCTACTCTGCATTCGGCAAAGCGATCCTCTACAAGCTCGGGCTAGACGGCTTCTGCAAGCTACCGCTCGCATGGTAGCGGAGCCTCTGAAAGAGGTTCCTCAGAAATCAGTCTTGCAACGATCCAGGGAAAGTGGCTCAACGGTGCTGGGGCGTCGTTGAGAAAGATGAGCGGTGAGTCCGAGAAGGCAGGGCCTGGTGTACAACAAGCGCTACACTGCGGCTCCCAGACTCATGGCCGAGCTCACAGGAGCAGCTCGCCGACTTGTGGCGGGCAAGCCGGCGGAAGAGGTGGCGTTCGTTGGTGGTGTCAGAGTTCTTTTGGACTACCTGCGGCGCACGCTCGGCAAACCACAGGTGAATGAAGTGACAGATCTCTTGGGGAAGTACTTCAAAGGTACAAGGAGGAGATCGGGGGAGTCCATGAACGAATACATCACTCGGAAGAGTGAGGCCTTTTTACGAGTGAGTCAGGCACTCAAGAGAGTGCAGCCACACTACAAAGGGATAGGGGGCAATGCTGGATACTACCAACGAGGACGGCGAGGAAGTGACCCATGGAGCTTCACCAGCAACCCTGCCTGGAGCCGTCAGTGTCGGGAATGATGATGATCAAGACGATCGGCCTGACGACCCGTCAGGCAATGATGGCCCAGATGGCGGCACGACTACTTCGTGGACAACCTGGGGGCAAGGAGCCCCGTCGACGAGGAGCTGGACCAGCGGTTGGTCGCACAGTGATTGGGGGTCCCAGAGAAGCTGGGACTGGTACGGCGGAGGATGGTGGTCCAGCGGCCACTCCAACTATGGAGCCGTGCCTTCCACCTGGAGCTCCTTGGAGGCTGTGGAAGATGAGACTCTGTTGCCGGCTTTCATCCAAGGATGGTACTTGCTGGCCGACGCGGCGCTGGACAGCGCCGAACGGAATATCATCGCGACAGCTCTCGGCGGCGACTACTCCCCGGCCAAGGTGGCGCAGGAACTGCGGAACCAGTTCCCCGAGACCGAGCTTCGCCGGAAAGATCACGGACGACGCTCCCACGCTTTTGTGAGCACAGAGGACTACTACGAGACCTACGAGGCCGAGGACATCGAGGCCAGAGCCGAGGACCTTACGGACGAGGGTGCGGCGTTGTTGGTGGAGGCCGAAGACGAGGCCCAGCAGGCCATGGCGGTGCTTGGACAAGCACGCCGTACGCTCAAGGAAGCGCGGATGCGCCAGCACAACGTGAAGATGAATCGGCAATACTACCGAGGCAACAACAGCAGCGGTCCTCGTCCAGCCGGGGGCGGTCCCAGATCCTCATCGGCGACTACCAGCAGTAGCAGCGGAGGCGCTCCCAATGATGCTAACATGATCTGCCTGGGCTGCGGCGTCAAAGGGCATCGAGTTGCGAACCGCCCCAACAAGAAGAGTGAGGCTATGCAAGCCACCGAGGCTTCCGGAGGCGAGACGCAACACGCTCCCTTTGTGTGTTTTGCGGAGGACTGTGAGAGCGCTCTCACGGTGTTCCCTACTACCAGCCAGGCGGTCGAGGAGGGCTACGCGATCATCGATGGCGGAGCCACCAAGACCCTAGGCAGTGTGCACGCGGTGGAGGCCTTGCTCCGGAAGAACCAAGAATATCATGGCAATCCACGCCTGGCGGAGATCGACAAGAACAACCAGCCTCTGTTTGGCTTCGGGAATAGCACAGAAGGCCGTTGCCTCAGTACCTGCAAGGTTGGGGTCCAGGCGGGTGGCCAAGCTGGCAAGGTGCAGATTCACACCCTCAACGAAGGTGTGGGTCCCATATTGCTCAGCATCGATGCACTGCGGAGCCTGGGGGCAATCGTCGACTTCCGCGAGGATCTCCTCGTCCTGACCGCGATCAACGACCGCAAGATCATACCACTTCGCCGGTCCTCCACAGGCCACCAGTTGTTATCACTGGTAGAAGACCTTTTTCACGAGGCCCATGATGCGAAGACGAGGGTCCCGAGCCTTCGAAGTTTTGTCTCACAGTCCATTTAGGGACAGCTCCTCCCTGATCTCGAGCCTGACGAGAAAAGGGAGGGAACATGTATAGATTCAGGACAGGGTAGGAATGGAACTTCTGAATCAGTGGGTGTTCGTAGCTTAACTAACCGAGTTCAGTTTGACATGACACCAGTGGTGAGAGAGCGTGATGTTGGGCCAGCAGTGATCACGGATGAGGTGACTGCGAATGACATGAAGAGCACCCGCATAGAACATGCAGGCGCACATCCCGATGACAGCATCCCAGGCTCAGAAGCTCACGTTTGTGATCACGCCACTCCTCTCTCCGTTGCGCAGCATGGATCGCCTGTCTCGTCCGGAGCTCGTCTTGCACCTCCGAGCCCTTGGCGAGGAGAGTCCCGAGAACTGGAATCGCATGGAAATCAAGCAGCGCATCCAGGAGATCACCGAGGAGATGCCAGCCCTGGCCACAGCAGTGGCCCACAAGACGCCTTTGGAAACAAAGATGGCGCAACTCAGCAAGAGCAGCCGCAAGAAGAGCACCCTGCGCGAGTACTTGGAGAACGAGCTGCACCTCGAAGTGTCGGACATGGACACCATTGCGGCCATGCAACGCAAGGCCAGCAACAAGATCCTCCAGGAGTGTCCTGTTCACGGGGCAGACGCGATGGGGTTTGGGAAGTACTCCCAGCTCAGCTACCAGGAGACCTACCTCAAGGACACCGACTACTGCAAATGGGCGCAGGCTACAGTGGCCGAGGGTCCCAGCAGCATTCGCCTGGAGCGCTTCGTTCGTCGGTTGGCCAAGGCCGAGGAAGATGGCGGCCCGAAACATCCGATGAACAGTTCCCCGATGGTAGCACCACGGCCCAAGAGTCGCGGCTACAAGGCCCCGACATCGGGCTCGGCATCCAGCAGCGCGGCATCGAAGGCACCTCCCATGGCCGACCCACGCGACGAGTTGATCATGAAGATGACGACGGCGCTCCAGGACCTCAAGGAGGAAGTGGATCAGCTTCGCGCGGAGCGTCCCCGCAAGGTGACCTCGAATGCCGACAAGTAGATGCAGCTCGAGCTCAAGGGCATGCAGGCGGAGCCGAGGATGACAACCGCCGGGTTTTGACGTCTACAGCTGCCGCAGCCTTAGAGTACAAGTCTTGGCGCACTCTACCACAAGCATTCCAGGAGTTGACAGGGTTGGAACGATTGAAGTTGTTGGAGTGTAATTGTGATCATGACAGTGTGTTGACGCAAACATTTCAGCAGAGGTCGGGAAAACATGAGAGTGCCGCTAGAGCATCGACTTGGAACGGTGCTGATTTGGCCACGACAAATGGCTTGCAGCTGTTGCTGGAACAGATCAGGGTGTTGAATCCGGAACATGTCTGGTTATCCCCTTCTGATAGTGCTTTTTCCCCCATGCAACGAGCCAACCAAAGAACTGCCCAACAGACCCAGGAGCTTAAACAAAAGCGAGAGCGTGCTATCCAGATGTATCATCATGTGAGAGAAGTCATGAAGGTGTGTACTCAGTTAGGAATCCATTGTACCTTAGAACTGAGTGAACGAAGCGAGGCGTGGCGCCTCCCAGTAATGCAGGAGATCCTTCATGACATGGGATATCATGTGGCCGTGACCAAGGGTTGCAGTGTTGGATTGGCAAATGCCCAGGGTCAATTGATTCAGAAGGGATGGCGGTTGGTGACTTCGCACAAACGGCTGTCTGAGGTGATGCATAAGCGTTGTATGTGTCATACGTCATATGCCCATGCCAAGCAAGAAGGTTCGGGAATTCGGAAGGCGGCCAGGTATACTTCGGAGTTTGCGAGGTTGGTGTATCAGGAGCTTCAGGAAGAATTGAGTTTCTATGGGTTGTTACGTGAGTGTGAAGGGGACAGCCAGTTGCCAGAGCAGTTTGGTCGAGGTGATTTGTGCACATGTGAAGATGCCTTCTTGGAAAGGCACCAGCTTCAGTGTGGAAGCTGTCTTTTAGGACGTGACGTTGTGCCAGGGGCCATCGACAATCCCGAAAATACCGCAGCCTTTCAAGCTCACCTTACCCAAATTCCTGAAGCCCCAAGCGAACTTGAAGCCCGTAGGATTCACCAGCTTCCGCAACCGAACCTGAAGACCCTGGAGGAGTACCTAGGTTCTTTCGCCCCCAGACAGCACAGTTCTCGAAGACAGCAAGTGCAGAACTCTCAAGGCTCTTATTTTACGTATGGCACCTACTCCTATGGAAACCATTACGGAGTGACTTCCCGAACCAAGCAAAACCCGAACTGGTCCGCATGGTCAACAAAGTGATTCGAGAAAACTTCCCTAAAGACTTTGTGTGGACCGCCTTCACCCTGAACCTTAACTCGGCACTTCCGATGCACAAGGACTGCCACAATCATGACCATTTCCCGAACTGTAGTGTCGGTTTAGGGTCGTATTCGGGAGGGGAGCTTTGGATTGAGGTTTCCGATGAGTCAGGTCAAGGGCAGATGGAGGTTCGCTATAAGAGCAACGGTGAAGCACTTCAGGGTTGCAAGGTGAACATCTTTCATAAGCCAGTTCTGTTTTCTCCGAAACAGTGGCACCAGACATGCCATTGGCAGGGACAGAGATGGGTGTTGACGGCTTACGTGAGTCGGGGATTGGAAGAGTTTTCAGATGAGGATCACAAACATTTGAAGCGATTAGGCTTTAATACCCCACCTCGGAAAGCCTGGAGCCTCGAAGCAAACTGTAAAGAACTTGCAGCTACTCAACATCGTGCACCCACGGGCGTTATCAGGTTCGAAACAGGCCTCTTGGAGCCCCCAAGTCAGGATGCTGAAGCATATGCCGTAGGTGACAATCCTGTGAGGGCTCATGGGCCCCAGAGGAAAGAAGATGAACGAATCCGGAAGCAGCTCCACTTGTTGCACTGTGCTTCGGGACATGGGAGTTTGAAACACCTTGTTGAGGCCCTGAGGCGTCGAAGAGCTCCTCCTAGAGTGCTTGAATTAGCTGAAGCCTTTAAATGTCCTACTTGTGAAGAAAGAAACAAACCTCCCCCGAGAGCCCAAGCGACCCTCGAACCTCTTCCCCCGAAGTATTGCACCATCAGCGCCGATGTGGGACACTGGGAGCACCCCCATAAACCAGAGCCCGTGCAGTTCATGCTGATAATCGATGAGTGCTCAAGATACAGAGTAGCCCGGATTTTGAGCAAGGGTTCTAAACAGCAGCCATCGGCCAATGCGTGTATACACTATCTTCAGGAGGGCTGGAGTCAGTACTTTGGCTACCCCCGGGCATTGCGCGTGGATCCAGCTGGAGTCTTCAGAGGACGTCAGATTCTGGATGCCTATTGTGATAAGCATGGTGTGTACTTAGACGTGATACCCGGAGAGGCACACTGGAAGAATGGGACATGTGAGCAAGCCATTCAAGGTGTAAAAGAGTTGATGACAAGATTGTGTGACTTTGACCCCGAGTTGACCCCGGAGATGGCATTGTCGGAAGCTATCACTACCTTTAATCATCGTGACATGGTCAGGGGTTTTACACCTGCTCAACAGGTCATTGGTCGTGGCGCCGATGACACCGAGCGCTTCGTGGAGGCCAGTCAAGGACTTCCGCCAGGGCTGTTGATAGAGAACCCGGAGGGAGAGTTTGAGAGAACAGTTAAACTACGTGCAGAAGCAGAAAAGTGCCATGCTGAATGGCACGCCCGACAACGCCTGACAAGGGGGCGGAACTCGCGCTCGAGACCGTGTTACAACTACCGTCCCGGAGAACTAGTGTTCTTCTGGAGGACACAAGAATCAGGAAAGGGGAAAAGACACCCAGGGACCCGTCAAGGACGGTTCTTGGGACCTGCACGAATTCTGGCGACAGAAAGCCGGACCACGGACACTGGAGAGATCAGGCCCGGAGGAGCGGTCTGGCTGGTCCGAGGCAGATCCTTGCTGAAGTGCGCGCCGGAGCAGCTCCGGCGAGCAACCGAGCGCGAAGAGATCTTGGAATCAATACTGGCACAGCAAGGCCAAGCGACTCCCTGGACCTACACCCAGGTGGCGTCCTCCATTGGAGGAAACCAGTACGAAGACATCTCCGGAGAAGTACCGGAGACCACGGAGTGGCATCGCGCGCAAGATGCCACGCAGGAGGCACAGCCCTCCCGAGTGAGGATTCATCGGAAGCGTCCGCCACCGCAAGACGAGGCCGCTCCAGAAGCGGATGTCGACGTACGTATGGAGGCGGAAGCTGAGGACACCGAGAGCGGTCCCAGACTACCACATCCCCGACGCGAACAGGCAGGAGGCGTCCAGCAGCTACAAGGGGAGTGCTGGTGGGCTACAATCAAGGACCACCAATGGCCCGAGGCACCGGCCAGCTACTGGAATGACCACCGCGCTGCAGTGGAGATTGACATCGAGCTACCAGAAGGCAAGAGGAAGCTTCAACAGGCCACACGGGATTTCGGCACATATTTTGTACATCAACTGAAGCGGCGAGCAGTTGAAATCTCGGAAAAACGCTTGAGTGCAGATGAGCGAGCTTCCTTCGATGAGGCGAAACAGATTGAGGTGCGCAATTTTATTGCGGCGCAAGCGTTTGAGGCGCTTCCTTCTTCGATGCAACCAGCTCGAGAACAAGCTGTCAATATGAGGTGGATACTGATGTGGAAGGTCCGCGAAAGCGGGGAGAAGAAGGCGAAGGCGAGGGCGGTCCTGTTGGGCTATCAAGACCCTAGCTATGAACACCGCAGTACGGCAGCCCCAGTGATGTCTCGCCAGTCCCGTCAGATGATTCTTCAGATTGCAGCTTGGAACAAGTGGCGGTTGCGGAAAGGAGATGTGAGTGGGGCATTTCTTCAAGGACGAGAATATCCCGACACCTTGTACTGCATACCGACTAAAGAGATCTGCGAGGCCATGAACATTCCAGAAAACAGCGTCACAAGGCTTCGTCGTGCTTGCTACGGTTTAGTGGATGCCCCTTTGGAGTGGTATCGGACCGTGGACGCTTTCTTCCAGGAAATCGGACTTGAGCGAACGCAGTCGGACGCTTGTGTGTGGTGTTATCGTCAAGAAGGCCGATTGTTGGGCTGCATATCAGGCCATGTGGACGATTTCATTTTTACAGGCGACGACCAGCATGAAGGCTGGCAAGCGGTGCTGCAGAAAATCAAAAGCCGTTTTCACTGGGGGGATTGGGAAGAAGACAAGTTCACACAGTGTGGAGTTCTCATTGAACATACTAGTCGTGGCATTGAGTTATCCCAACCAAGCTACTTGGAAAACATTTCCGAAATAGGCGTCAATGCAAGCCGAAGGAAGGAACCCAAGAGCCCCACTTCCGACCGAGAGAGGACGGTGCTGAGAGCGCTACTGGGCGGACTAAGCTGGCACGCCCAGCAAATAGCACCGCATCTGAGCGCAGATGTAAGCCTCTTGCTCTCTGAGGTTGGAAACAGCACCGTTGACACAATCATCCGCTCAAACATCCTGCTCGCTCATGCTAAGGCACGTTCCGACCACAAGATGCTCATCCATGCCTACCCCCAAGAGACGGAGTTGGGCCTGGTGACTTGGGTAGATGCGGCGGCCCAGAACCGCGTCGACGGCAGCAGCACACAGGGCATCATGGTGGGAATAGCGCCGATGGCACTACAGAGTAGAGATATGTGTGAAGTGTCCCTGATGTCATGGCATTCATCCAAAATAGACCGGAAGTGTAGAAGCCCAGGTGCCTCAGAAGCTTTGGCAGCCATCAACGGCGAGGACTGCATGTGCTACGCGCGGTACCAGTGGTCAGAGCTACTACATGGACAAGTCGATCTTCGCCGACCCGACCGTACCGTCCTACGAATCCCCGGATGCCTGGTAACCGGTCTACGACAAGATGCGCAACGAAGTCCTGGTGATCAAGGGGGCCGAGAAACGGACAAGCATTGAGCTACTAGGGCTCAAAGAAGCACAGCGAAGGACAGATGTCAACATCCGCTGGGTTCACTCCGAAGCCCAGCTCGCGAACAGCCTCACGAAACAGGGAGGGCATCACGAGCTAGAGATGTACTACAAGATG